CATTAAAATATTTGAATACTTCAATATTTTTGGAAGGTCATTTATGTATAATAGGAAAAGCAATGGGCCCAGTATGCTACCCTGCGGAACTCTCATGGAACAGGGCAGAGACCCAGACACAGAGCTTCCATGTTTCACAACCTGACACCTATCAGTCAAATAAGAGGAAAACATTTGTATTGCAGATGATGAAAGTTGAAAAGAAATCAACTTTTGTAAGAGAGTATAATGATCAACTGTGTCAAACGCTTTACGAAAATTAATATATACAGCACCAGTTACTTGACCTTTGTTCAAAGCAGCACGTATTTGTTCAGTGAATAAAATTAATGCTGACATGGTTGACCTTGACGTGTGAAAACCATGTTGGCTATTGCTTAGCATATTATTAGCTTCTAGATGCTGAAGTAGTTGATTAAATAATGTTTTTTCAAGTAACTTAGAAAAAATAGGAAGAACAGAAATTGGCCGATAGTTTTAAACTTCTGTTGGGTCACCAGATTTAAAAATGGGAGTAATCTGAGCAAACTTCCAGGCATCAGGGAAAATAGACTGCACAGATGAAGCAGAAAACAATTTTTTTTAACTGTACAGTATTTGTTAAATTCATGTGTTTTTATTTTTTTGAACAAAAATCTAGTTCAGCTATAGAACCAGATAAATTACAAAAGTAATGTTAATTCCTTTTTTGGGGGATTTATATTTAAATATATGACTGCCAGACTAAGAAAAAAAGGCTTTAAACTGTTATTTTTGTCTTTCAGGAGTGGAGGATGGTCAGACCGTCAGAATGCCAGTTGGAAAGAAGGAGATCTTCATCACGTTTCGGGTTTGTGTCCACTGCAGATCTGTCTGCAAAGTCAGAACAGATAGAAATGATCTTGTGTTGATTCATTTAAAATGTTAAGCTGTGACATAAGTTATTGATGTACTATAAAAAAAACAGTGCATGGTATATTGTTTTATGAAATTTTAACTCTTCAGTGCCATTTGTGATTATCCAGGTCCAGAAGAGTCCTGTGTTCAGGAGGGATGGTGCGGACATTCACTCTGATCTGTTCATCTCTGTGGCTCAGGCCATTCTGGGTGGCTCAGCCAAAACACAGGGACTTTATGAAACACTTAATTTGTCCGTAAGTTTAGCTGCAGTCACGTCTTTTACTCAAATTAAAGACAAAGATTCCAATCTTGTACAGTTTAAAAATAGACTGCTTCTTTTTTTTCCTTCAGATTCCTGCAGGTATCCAGGCTGACCAGAGGATCCATTTGATAGGAAAAGGAATTGCTCGTGTTAGTGGCTATGGCTTTGGCGATCACTATGTCCATGTAAAAGTAAAAATACCAAAGTAAGACTCCAAGACATTCACCAGACTGAAAGCTTTATAAAAATGAATACAGGAATGGGTTGTGATATTTTCCAGATGAGGATTTCAAAGTTTTTCCGCAAATCATCTAAAAATAAAATGCTATTTTTTTTTCCAGGACTCTGACAGACAGACAGAGAAACCTTTTAATGAGTTATGCTGAGGATGAGACGGACGTGGAGGGAACAGTGAACGGAGTCACTAATACCAAAACAGGTACCAGCATAAAAACCCAACACGTCTTTCTTACTTAATTATCCGAAGCCTTTTATTGACTTGTTATACATTTCTAATCTACTGGACGAGGGAAACGTGAGATTCTGACATTTCAGTCGATCGATGTAAAGAGTATTTTAACTGAATTCAATTAAAATTGGATTTTACAAAGGGATGTTGTTTTTGATGCAGTACTAATGTTTGATCAGGTGGGGGCAGTATTGGGCAGTATTAGCAGGCAGTTTGAAGCAGAGAAAAGCAGGACAGTTTAAACAGGAGGGAACTTCCTCTCCAAATTTAATCACGACCCCCGTACGCGAAGCGTAAGCGGGAGTCGTATTGTTTTCGTACTGTTTTTTTATTTATTTTTATTTATTTATTATTTATTTATTTATTTATTGTTCAGTGATTTTTGGTCAACCGTAGCACAAAAACGGCTTCACCAATCAACATGAAATTTGGCAGGACTGTAGATGAGTCCGACCTACACTGCGCCAGCCAACGGTTTTACAATAAACCCCATATTTGAGGCGGGGGCTCCTTTCAAAGAGGGGGTGTCAGGACATGCAAAAATGCTTATAACTCAGAAACTGTTCAACATAGAATCTTCAGATTTCTTTTGTTGTTTAGCTCTGATGAGGGCCTATCCATCAGGTCAACTAATGACCCCCCACCCCACCCAAAAAAAAGACCCACCCAAACCACTACAATTTTGGGATGCACCTAGTAGCATGACATTTATTAGGAATAAAGACTTCTGAGTACTGGTGCATTTGTGCGTGCGGGGGTCATTATGTTACAGCTATGCGGTATCTAGATTAGTTAGTAACCAGATAGGACTGCTTGTTTTTCCCCAATGTTTGGCTTAGACTTCCTTTTTTGTGTGTGTGTGTGCTTGTGAAGCTCTGTGGTACTGTTCTTTTTAACTCATCCATTTTTCTAATTGAGAAACAGTTCAGTTTTATGTCCAGCCGTTTTCTGAATTAGTGAACCAGCAGTTCTTAGTTGCTCTTTGTTTCCTTTCAAGGTAAAAGATCTTTCTCAAACTGAGGCCTCTTGAGCAGGTCAGAGGGCAGAGTAAACCAAGGACATCACCATCGCAAAGATAAAAAAGACAGGAATGAGAAATGTTCATTGTTGGTTGAGTCCTGGAGGAGTTTTTGGATGAAAGGTTACACACCGTTCTGCAAAATCCTCTTAAAGAGGCTGAAGGTTTGTCTGCTCTGCTTCTCTGTCAAAGTGGATCTACAGAAGAGGACGTGCCAGTTTTTATCAAATGTACACAGTGTGACAACAAAGACTTGGAAAAGCACTCTCTGTAAGATGGTTTCTGTTTGATGCCTAAACATAAGCAATGGTCCTAGCAGAATTTATAAATGAGAAATTAATTATTGTACTGACAAACACTGCACTTACAGAGTAAAGTTTAATTGGGATTAAATACTGTTAAGTCAATTCTACATGTAACTGTTGTCTTCAGGCCAGAATTTCTCGTTTGTTCTCCATCCCTTTAGGTGAAACAGATTAAATATTCAGACTACGTGAGTATTAATGTTGGAGGATAAAGATGTAGGTCTGGCTTTCCTGAACTGTGACCACCAATAGTTAAATACCTGTTCAAGATGTCTTTTTGTCCTTCAGTTTTTTTTTTCTTAATCACATTTGTACATCAGCTTTTGTGAGAATTCATTCATGTATCATATTAAAGGAAGCCATACAGCTGCAATAAAGTTATGGCCTGGAAAACATCTGTTTTTTTTATGTAATTTGAAGAATTAACACTCAAATATGTTACTATTTAAACAGTTTTATATCACAACAGAGATAATATTCTGAATTCCATGTTTTTAGGTTTAATTTTATTGTTGTTCTGCCAACACAGTTTGACCACTTTAGCATGGCTGCTGTGAAATCAAAAATTAAATTCCCACTGTGTCATTGTACAGCACGTGTCAAACTCAAGGCCCGTGGGCCAAATCTTAACCCGTTACCATTTTACCCGGCCCCAAAGGTGATAATGAAATAGTTTTATGGTTTCTATTTTTGTCGCTGTATTTGGTGCCTTCCTGTCAGAACAGACGGCCAATTTTAAAGCCAAAAAATAAAAAAGAAGTTAGAATTTTTTCAGTGATCTTTGATTTTGGTGTGGAAAGGACAGCAGAGAATCAACTTTAATGATCTTTTGCTGTGTTCTCATATTTTAACGTAAAACAATTAGATTTGGGGGGGGGGGGTGATACCTGATTTTCTACATAGTGATGAAATGTATCTATAAGAAATAGTAACTGAAAAGTTGAGCCACATAAAACAATTTGGAAAAGGAAATTTGTATTTCTATATAAAATAAGTTGTTTTTTCAATAAATATTGACAGAGTGGCCCTCCTTGGACCAAGTTTAGATTTGTTGCCCCCTCGTGTTACTGAGTTTGTCACCCCTGTTCTGTAGAAGCTCTGAAAATTTGGAAATAAAATTTATAGGCTAACAGTTGCTTATTTTCTAAGAAAAAGCTTGCATGTTTACAAAAATCTTTATTCTAGTCCAAAAATAAACACAAGTCAGCATTTTTTGAATGAAGAAAAAAAAATGTTTTATTGCTGGCAACACAAAAATAAAACTACATTTTCACTACAATACAGTAAAAATGCACTAGTTCATAAATAATGCTTCAAGTTAATAGAATAATTGAATGGCGCAAATGAAACGGTCAAATTTTTTAATTAACACAAAACTATTGAAACTTTTTTTTCGTGGCCTGAACTAACTGCACTCCTGGAAAGCACTGAAACGTTCACTCATCATGCTGTTACTAACTAAAACAGAACTACAGTAGGATCTCTGCAGCCCCCGTTTCATTTCATCATGTGCACTCTATTTAAACCTGAGACTCAAATAAAAAATACACCATTGCTTCCATTTCCACACCTGCGATCAAGCAGAAAATGACAATAATGCACATTCATTTGTGAGCACATGCGTTGTGTTAACGCACAGCAAAAAGCACCAGGCGGAAAAATAAATAACATTTTGCCAAAAAAAAAACTGCTTATAAAATACTAAGGAAAAATTAAGACGCCATCCTTTTCATCAAAATAAATATAAAACTTACTGCTAAACTTTAAGTGCAGTCACACTGCAACCAGCAGGCCTCACAAAATGTTTTTATTTAAAGTGGAAAAAACTAAAGTGCCTTTCTTGCACAGTATGGATAATATATGGTTTATTTATTAAGAGAAAAACTAAATTTTAAAAGCTAAACTGAAGCTGTACACTAGAGGTTTATAATAAACCTAAATACTAGATATGTTCACCCATTTCAATTAGCTCTTAACACTATGTCTTTAAAGGAACCGATGTAAGTAAAACTTGAGAAATAAACCGTACAGTTAAACCAACGGGTAGGTTTTAAGCTATCACATAATTCCTAAACTGAGGAACAGTAGAAGAGAACATGCACTAGAAGAAGTTATAATTATACTCATCACTATCAGTTGTATTGTTCATCCTGTACTTAAATAAAAAAAAAGCTCTTTGATTTCCATCACCAGCCTCACAGTACACACATTTGACCTTGGAAACATTTGTGGCTTGATATGAATGATGAAACGGGACAATTTTCAGATTTAAACTGAATCGTACAGTACGTTTTTCTACACATATTTTCGTTTTGTCAATGTATTAAACCTAGATAGAGCCGTCTGACTGACAAAACCCTTCTGTGCAGAACACTTTCATATGTTTACCATGAATTCAGAAGCTAATGTACCATCATATGGTCAATTACAGCGTTGGGGGGAGGAAATGTCACTTCAGTGAAAATCTGTGACAACCATTATGTTGAGTAATTTCATGACAAATACACATGACCTCAATCATTTTTACCCCCACCCACACACACACACACACATATACACACAGCAACAGTGTACCGGGTGAAATGAAAACAATATGTGACTTGCAGCTGTTTAGGAGCTTATTTCCAGTTGGGTTTGGAACAATATGTTTTTAAAGCCTTACGACACACTAAAAGCCCTGCGACAAACATCTGATGTTTCTCCAAGTGCAATTTTGGTTGACAGTACATTTTAAAACTGTTTAAAATGGATTATTTTTGGATACTGTATTATAAAAGTATATCTTGGTTATCCTATTTCCTAAAATGAAAACTTCATTACTTATTGAAAGAGTCAAATGGTGCTATTAATGTTAAAATGCAACTAAAAAAAAAACAGAATGGAAGGATATTGTGTTGGAGGTAGAGAAATTTCAATAAGAATAAAAACAAAAAATTATAAAGGTCCAACACATTGTGTTATTTGAAGCCTGGATCTAAAACCACGACGTTACATCAAAACACACAGGCTTGATTTGAATGTTTGTGTAAAATGGTCAGTTTGTGGACATTTTTCCCCAGTCTTTTTTGTTTTTTAAGTGTCCCTTCTCAGACTGTGACAGTCAGAGCCGGATCACATCAGATACCAGGCAGCCAGTCCAGCGAGGGCAGCAAACCAGGTGGCAAACAGGACCTGTCCTGTCGGGTGGCTGAGAGCAGCCATGGCCAGCCGGCAGAAGTACGCCGTTCCACCTGATGCCGCTACGAACCAGAAGAGACGTGAGTTTAGAGAACAAGGAGCAAGGCTGGAATTCGGGCTTTAAAAACAGAACGGTGCTTACCCATTTTAGCAGCATAATAGGGACATTTGCTGATGTCTCCGCCCATCTCTCCGTGAGCGGGGATGCCGGCGTCTAAAACGTCCTCCTGGATTGTTTTGCCCATCTCCTCTAACTCCTCAAACACCTGCAAGAAGAAACAACAAGTAGATGTTCTCTTACGCTTGTGTTTAACGCAGTCAGGGGAAAATCCTGTGAAACAATTTCATAAAAAAAGGCGGGACAAACTCAGCAAGATGTGAAGGTTTTGGATTGTAAAAACAAACAGGAGAAAAAGCTTGTCTTCAGGAAAAAAAGATAACTAACTAAAACTGTATAATTTATTTTACAAAACTAACTGAAATTATAGAATATCCTTAATTTTAGTGTTTGTCAATTTATTTTGAGCCATGTGGATCTTTTTTGTTTGTCAAATCAAGTAGTTTCACATTAGCTGTGGTCCGTAACAACACTTGTTTACAGTCTGCTGCTGCTCAGCATCGCCTGCTAAATGACGACAACAAAAGTTGGGAGAAAGCGGCGACGTCCACTTTGGGATTTCTTTGAATATGACTGCGAGAAAAAACAAAGCAAGTGTCTTGTAGTGGAAAAAGGTGATAAAACAGGTGGACTACTTCTCAAGGGAAAAACTGCATGAATCAAGCTCACACAAGATGGCTAACTGTGACCGTCTTGACACGCTAGCTTCTCTCAGTCCTGTGAAAAACAAACAGGTAGCACTGGGTTGGAGACAACTATTGTCATTGTCCTAAAATAATCACCCAAGGTTTTTGACAAAATTGAGTTACACACAGTTTAGGAAGGTGTCGCTAAATGAACTGCTTTAACTAGTGACCAAATAGCTGTTGGCTAGTTAACTCACAGGAACATCACAAGCTTCAGGATGCTTTGGCAGATATGTTTATTCAAACTATAAAAAAAAAACTAAACTAAAACTAAGCATTAAAAATGCAAAAAAACTAGCAAATCCACTGTAAAAACTAATTAAAACTAACTGAATTAAAAGGAAAAAATGTCAACTAAATCAAACTAAATTATAATAAAAAATCCAAAACTATTATAACCTTGGTGGTAATTGATCCAAACATACAGAAGAAGCGTTTACTGTAGTAGAACTCCATATTAAATCATCAGTCGGGATCTCACCTCCATGTTGAATTGAAAGGCTTTAACAGCTTCCTCCACCAGCCTCTCCTTCGTCTCCGTGTCCAGGTCCAGCTCATTCATACGACTCCGGTACAGCTGCTTGAAAGCTTTGGCACTGTGAATCCCGTCAAACTGGTAGAACTCCAAACCTTCGCCTGTGGGTGGCAGCTTCAGAGCTCTCTGGGCCACCTTTTTCAGCACCTGGCCCCCCGACAGGTCACCCATGTAGCGGGTGTAGGCGTGGGCCACCAGCAGCACCGGGTCCTCTCGGCCCACCTCGCGGATGCGGTCCACGTAGCGCCGGGTGGCTTGGGAGCAGCTGATCTGGCTCTTCCATTCCGGGCCGTAGAAGTACTCCAGGTCACGAGCCAGAGCTTCGTGGCGGTGCAGCTCTGCAGGGAAATAGAGCGGGGCAAAGTGGGGGTGGTCCTTGTTCCGTTCGATCTCTTCTTCCATGGCAGTGTATGTGTAGTAAAGCGCCACGGCACCAAGCTGGAGAAACAAAAACTTTTGGAATATTTATCTTTAACAGTACCTTTTTTTAAGTACTTCTGGAAAAATCTATTCTTATCTCTTGTTTAATTCTCCTATAAATATTCTGATGTCTCAGTTTAGTTTTCGCTTTCACTTTATTTACCTCTGCTTCAGTTATGCGATCATGAAACTTATTTACAAATCTTATAAAGTATTCTTTAAAGGGCAGATATGTAGCTTAGGTGGGTAAGTAACTAGTTAAAGCTCTTATCAACAGCAGATAAAGGGTGAAAGTGCACTCAGTTTGCAGAGTAATCAGATGAGTCAGGTTAACCAGTGACCAAACAAACAAACCAAAGCTTTGTTCTTCTGTTGGTCCAGGTCTGAGTTAACTTGGCTCATCTGTCAGGAACCACTCACAATTCCTCCAAGCGATAGTGTTCTTTCTTGCTATATGATGCAGGTACAATAAAAGCGACCAGCATCTTTAATACTGAAATTTAACAAGCCTTTACTTTTCTGTATTCTGACCTTGAAGAGCTCCTTGCGAATACGTCCCCTCAGAAAATCTTTCACAAACTGTGTGTTCTCAGCCTTTTCATGAACCTTCTTGGTCCCTGCTGCCAGCATCTCGGACAAGTCTTCTGGACTGGGAAAGAAAACAAATATTGTAAGGGGGAGGAAAAAGTGAGAAGCTTACTGTGTAACCTGTATAACCGCAGAACTATGATTACCTAGCAACCTTACTTTAGTATAAAATGTAAAGTACAACAGAGAGATTTACCTGAGAGGGTTTTCTTTTTCTTCATATCCAGGCCCTGCACCATTGGATACACTTGCTGTTGTTTCCATCTTCGTTGATGATATTTTGGGTTTATTTTATTTTATTTAATAGAAAAAATAAACCTGGAATTCAAACAAAGCTCTGATCACACAAAGAGAGAACAGTACAGAACAGGACATAACCTAGTAAATAAGTAACCCATGATTACAGCAATCAGGCCACACGTTTCAAATGTCTGCTATTGAATTCAAATAATATTAACATCAGAGTAATTTCAAATGGTAATGTTTAGTTAAAACTTTATCAGCTCAAGTTAGACAGCTAAGGCTGTACATTAGGAGGCAGCAAAGACTACTGCTCTCCATTGTTTTCACTGAGATTATCAAAGTAAACATCCACCAGCTGATTTCACCTGCTTTAAGCTGACAAGACCACACGACTCTGTTTGGATAAAAGCTATAGTTTACCTGGTTTACACAAGCTTTTTTTAATATCCAAACAGCTAAATAAAATGCAGCTCATAAAACAAAGGCCTTCTAGTTTTTACCAGAAGTCTCAGAAAATAACTAGCAGATACAAAGACTTTATGCTCTAAAGCTGGCTATTTATTTTAGTCATCCTGACTGAAAATATATAATATTATGTGAAGTCAATCTTTGTCAAAAGCGACAGATGCCAGTAATGTCCAGCAAACTCGGTATGAGCATCCTTTACAACCACAGCTAACTTTTTATGACGAGAATTAAGTCAGCTAAAAAGCTAGCCTACGCAGCATTATCAAGCTAACAAACTCGTTTATCTGATAAGTAACCACATGATATAATGGTAGATTGTCACGATTATTTAGTCATAAAAAAATATTCATTTTCCAAACAGGCGGCAACGCAATTAGAAATTGTTAAAAACAACAAACCTTTTTTCCCCGGTACTAATAAGCGATTTTTTTTTTAAATAAACTAAACCAGGACGCGAAGGTCCCCCGGAACAACAGTACGCTTCCGTTTGTTTCTACCGGTCCTGACGATCACGCACCACTTAACCGGAAGTGTTTGTAGTTTTATGCATCGTAGCTATTAGCAGGTTTATACTGCGCCAAAAGTGGTTAAATTGTTGAATAAAGGCACAAAGTAATTTTATGATGCAATATGTATGTAGCAGCGGTTAATTAAAAAAACGTTTCGTTTAATAATTTTCATCATTGTTTTACTCTTTTTTTTTATTTATAGTTAATTTTTTTTATCTCTATTGGTCCTATTATTCCAATTATTATCCTAATGATCATATTATATTAAAATTATCCTATATGTCTGAAAGGAGTAAAAGCACAATTTTCAAAAGTATTCAACATGTGGCAGAGAGGAGAGGGGCAAAAGAGTGGAGCCAGTGCTGCTGAGCATCAGGGTGAAGGAGCTGTGTGCACCAATCCCTACAGATTGAATACGATTTTATTGTTTAATTAAAATCTATTAATAGAGCAATTTCAAAAGTAAACAACAATTTTAAAAAAAGTTTTTACACGTGGCTCTAATACGCCTGGACATTGAATAAGCTAAAGAAAATGCAAGATACAATTAAAATAGAGTCATTGGACTGTGAAAATTCATAAATAATATAATAAAGTGTCAAAAAATAGTTACCGTTTGTCTAACCTTTTGCTTTGTTGATAAACTAAAAAAATGTCTTTCTTCATAAACTAATTTGTGCATGCTACTTTAGAATTAACAGATCTATGTCATCTAATAATTTTCTAATTGTTTTTGTGCACAAATAATTAATGCCTGCTGTTCATGAATTATGTACACCATCGTTGCTGAACAGATTTATCTGTCAGTGTACTTGAATACATTTGAAAGCTGCCTGTATGTCATAAGTGTGTGCGAGAGAGAGATTGTGTGAGTGCTTATATGCATATGTGCTTGTGTGACTGTCAGTGCCTGCCTGCTATCAGTCTGGTGACCGGCTGTAGTGTCAGATGCTTTATTTGCAGGGCAACAAGGATGGTGGGTGTTGGCTCCTTCCTCTGTAACTGAACCATGGGGAAGTTGGCTGACACGGCGGAGAAGATGACATGATTCACTTCCCTCGAATGGGACCAGCAACCTGTTACCTTCACACAGAAAGTTCTTTGAGAACTACATTTTGTGTGCAAGTAATTAATTTTAGGACAAGGAAGAAACCTTTTTGGATTTATAGATGTAGTAGTATTTTAGTCCAATAAATCTCTATTTATCAACCTCTGTTTCCTGATGCCTTGAACTAAATGTGTGATTGAAACTGTGCCATGGCTGAGGCTCAGACTTTTTCACTGTGTCATTGAAGACATGTAAGGTGATACTGCAAGTGTATTCTGTTTCTAGTTGGATTTTGGTTGCTTTTGTTGCTAGTTTTGGTTATTGTGTGGTGACTGTGCCCAATCCTCCTCATTCTGTCAAACGTCACTGTTTCATAAGCAATTTAGAAGGTTAGATGAGTGATTTGAACATTTTTGTAATGAAATATATTTGATAAAATTATGCCACTTTTGTGATGACTGTTCATGAGGTAACTGGGGCGGGTTCTGATTCATTCCAGTTTTATTGCTCCTCGTCTTGTTATCTTGCAGGTGTTCAATGTGGTCAAAACAACAGCACTATTTTGACCTAATTTGATATTTTCATAAAAGAAAGGTCATTATTGGAAGAATCATGCTCTTCAGACCTTCATTAGCCTTTTAATAATAACATTGGCTATGTTATAATTATACTGACTGGTTGTGCTTGTAAGGTTATAGGTTAAACAGGGGTGGGCAATCCTGGTCCTCGAGGGCCGCAGCCCTGCATGATTTTACTTGTTTCTCTGCTCCAACACACCTGATATGAATGAACAGATGATTATCAGGCTTCTGCAGTACGGAGGACCAACACTGACATAATTAGAAATAAAAGCAGAATTATATAAATAAACAACTAAATAAATACATTTAAAATGTACCAATTAAAATTACAAAGGAGAACTTTATCTCGTGTTTTTTGTTTGAAATGACTTGAATATTTATTTTTCCAGGTTATTATAAATTAGTCTATATATTTT